ACCTTTTAAAATTGCTTTGACAAACCACGTTTCTAAAACAGGAATATCCATACGATCTGTTAATAAAAATTAAAATTACTTCGCTATAAATATCGATGCGTTATCTGATGCGATTTCCAGTATTCAAATTAGTCTTATTTTTGTAATTATATAAAATGACAGAGGATGATAAGAATAACCAGAATATACAACACTTATCTTTAAGTTGCCGCAAAAAAATCGTGCAAGCTGTATCTGCATCTCTTGCACCTGCCATTTGCATCGCTTTGCACTCGCTCATTTGAAATTCCTTCGAAATCGCCGACGCGGATCGCCGATCGCGCGTGCCCGCACAAACGCATCGCTCTTCCCCCATAAACGATCGCGAATTCAAGGCTTGTTTTATTTCTGCATTACCGAAAGTTCGCGACGGTGGAATACACCGCGAAATTCGCGCGTTGTGCCGGAAACCGGAAGCGGCGTGAGCGCGCGAGGGTTGGATGCCCCTGCTCTACCTTGTCTGTCGTTCCGAGGGATCGTTACGGCGCATTCAGGAACACAGCGCGGACTGGTACACCCCCGGGAGGGACCCGGGAGTCGCTTCGCAACTTGAAAATAGTTAAAGTGAATAACTTTAATGCGTCGCGCAGAGGCGCCGCGGGCGAATTGGTCACGTTCGCAGCGGCGTAGCGCGGCGGTGGATACAACGAACGTTGCGATTTATCGCGCAAATCAATGGGAAATAATTAAATCAATGCAATTGACCCATTTTCTCGCGACATCATTACTATTCGAGCATCGTTGAAATTTTTATCTAATCTCTGGTAAAAAACTTACAGAAGTTGTGCGAATTTAGGTTGCCGGCGCTATGGCACACTTTCGCGGAGAAATTAGCATTCGGAGCAGCAGCGGCGAGAAAAAGTGCGCAACCAATTGCTTTAATCTCTTCAGAGAGGAAGATATATCTTGACGTGGCGTCATGCAAATATAAAGCTCTCGTAAAGCTGAGGAAAGATTACTTCTTCGCGAAAATGTCTCGCTTGCTTAAGAAGCTGCGAAGAAAATTCGTTTTTCTCTCAATAAATTGTATAGTATAATAATGTATTATTTTGATTCGCAAATTATTCACGAAATCCAGGTTTACTGATTTGACAGAAATTGCAGTGATTTTTTCGATAAGTAACTGCGGTAATGAAAAAAAATATTGCTTCACATTTTGAGGAAAATATCAGACTTAAGCAGTGCGAATTTTCTGACGATATTCGATAAATGAAGCCTGCGGCTTCATGTTTCGCCGTCATTTACTCCCGGAGCGATCGATCAGGCTCCGAGATCGGAGGAAAGACGCAGCAGCGCAGGACGACGGATCGCCCGACATTTTTGTTGACACCACCTCTTTCATTCTAGCCCTACCGAAGCGCTAAACCCGTTCCATTCAATTACCGGTGATCGCGGCAGCTGCACCGCTAGTACCAGCAGCTTCGATGACAACGACGGCGAGGACGACAACGACTATGATTACGACTACGACTATGAGAACGACTACGACAACTACGACGACGGCGACGTGGTGTTCGACCACCACGCGACGTCTTATTATGTAAATTTAATGACGTCGCCGATGCAATGCATGCGCGTTCGCGCTCGTCGTGCTCTCTCACGGACGCGCTCTCGGTGGGCGTGCATTCGTGCGAAGGTACCTTAAGGTTTCTACCGGGGGAACACCTGATAAACCGCGCGACATTTGGAAATGTCAGAGTGATAAATACGGCTCCTGCGTGGTGGTAATGCAACCGCTCCCTTTCTCCCAACCCCCTGCCTCGTGTGTCTCTCGCGCGTTGTCGTTCTTCCCGTAGCTTTTCCCCGAGTCCCCCTTCCCCCCCTACCCTTCTTCGACCCTCCGCGCTCACCCGGTGAAAGTGTTGCGCCCGCGGGCGATCGATTCGCGCCGGGGATGGAGGTTTTATCGCGGCTCGAACGCTATCGCGAAGTCGGAACGAGATCCGCAGCGGATCTTCGAGAAATGGCAGCTTTCCCATCGCGCGAAATGGAGATACTAAGTCACAGTCTGGTCAATTCGCAGTTTTCAGTCAATCGCACTTCCAGTTCGAGTAAATCCGCATTAAAGAAATTAAATGCCTCGACAACATCACTGTTCCAAAGACACAATAATTTTTTTAAACTTTTGTATTCCAAAAATTATAAAAAAAAAAGTTTAACTTTGATTTGTTACAGCGAAAAGTTATTAAGCTCAAACTCCGAGAAGTCGTTATCCGCGTAAGAAACTGTTTTCGAGATCGTGAAGAGCTATGTGAAGTGAAATTATGCGCTGCCGAATAATTGTACAAGAATGAGTTCACGTCAATAATTGAAAGATAATTAAATCGTGGTTTGTCACATTAGCTACTGTCAGTGTCAAACGTAGTCGTGGGAATGTATCATCTGTCACATCGGACGGACTCTGATTCGTGAGTCTCGAGAAAAGGCTATTTTGAACGCGGAGAAATTCCAAGTATCGAGTGCAGTATCGAGTGCAGTATCGAGTGACGGGACGGCTGGGCAAGAAGCAACGTCGCGCTGCAACGTCCCGTTTTTCAGCAACGATAATTATGCCCGTTTTTCCGTTCACTCCGTCGGAAAATCTTAATGGAAATGTCGTGCTTGCGCGTAATAGAGTTTAAAACGGAATTCCGCTCAAGGACTGCAGCGTGCTTCTGCAAAATGAAACAAGTTCCTGTTTTCGACAACGGATAGCACGTATAACTCACCTACATCGAAAGACGCAACGTATAACGCTAGGAGAGTGCGAAAAGATGCGCAGGACTTAATGGACTAAAGAATAATTCATTTGACTTTAGATTCATGCAAATTATTTTCCCAAAAGAGCTATTTAATTAATAAATGATTAGCATGTGCACGAATATTTTAGCACGCGAAAATATCCGTGTTCTAGTTTGCTAAACTTATTTTCTCTCTAATATCACGGATGAAGAACTATAATATAGAGTTGCGCAACATATAATAATGTGAAATGAAAATCTAAAGCGAAATTGCAATTTGCTAATGCTAGAAATGCATAAAATTCAGAATTATGAGCACCATCAACGTTTCGTGACTCCTCGATCGATTTTGTTCCACACGGTAAATATGTGACGATGACAAGTGAGCCGATAGTAACTAACGATACTATGTAAGGTACTGTCTAAAGTTTTCCTCTTTTTTCTCCATTAAACGTGCGGCTTTCATCGTCGAATAGTTAAGAGAGTGAGAGAGGCGTATAATGGAAAATTTCATTTACATACACCACCGAGTAGTTTTACTATGCGAAAAAATTTCTCCGAGTCACGCCTTGGATACGTCGACTTGACAAATAGGGCCCGCGTGATAATGCAGTCGCGTGACACCCTCTGCTCCACGGGGATGTTTTCGTCTTGCTGCTTTTTTACATCGCCGCGGGGGAAGCTGTTACCTCGGGACAATCGATTCGCGCCGAAAATAGAAGCTCTATCACGACAGGCGGGAGTAGTTGGATCGCGTGGCTCTTACGGGTTCTTAATTATTATTTGCCAAGAGCGAAGATACGATCCGGTATTACGATTTAGCTGTTTTCGTGCAAAATCACGGCAAACAACATTTTCATTGATTTAAGAATTTAAGGGTTATTCACTTCCGTAGAGGCACTGTATATACCTCAAAATCGCCATCAGTATTAAACAAAACAAAGCCGGATAATATGAAGTAGCGTGGTAACGAATAAAAATAAATAAACGTCAGTTTTAATAAAAATATTAGTCACTGTGTTTTTCTGTGGAGAAGTCGAGTTATCGGGAACGCCACTCTATCAACGCCACTCCATTTCGCATTGTTAAATATTTAACTACACTCCGATTCCCTTTGATTGATTGGCTATATTCTCTCCTATATTCATGGAAGAGCTACCTTTCATTTTTAAATTTCACACACAGTAGAATATCGTCGTTACATACGTCAGGATCATCCGCGATTTTGCAAAGTTCAACGCGAGGCAAACCGCCGAGCGAGAAATTCGCGCTAATTCCGCAATATCCTAATATTAGACAATCTTCTCAATAGTACATAATTTAATATTATCAAATTATTAGCGATAATTTTGACACTCGCCCCATGTATAATATAACATCAGGCGTGACGGTTTCATAAATAATTAAAATAATCTGGATTCAACAAAATTTAATTGAAATTGAACGATATCACTTAGATGGAGATTAGTTAATTAAATAATATTCGTTAGTCCCTTATTTTTTTACATTTTTTTACATTTTTTACTTCTTTTCTCAGCGTCTTATTCCGCATCTACAATACTTCTACAATACTCCACAAGCCGGCTTGAGAACCGTGCCAAAGAATGCGTCGAATCGCACAATCGAGCCACGAACGATGGAAAATCTCGTTCGTTCCGCGACGGGCGCGAACTGGTTCCGCAGTGATGGGCCGCTGGCCCGGGGAAGAGTGCACCGTGGAAAGAAATGCCACCCACCTCGACCACCGCCGTAGCAGTACGTGTACTCGTTATAATCCATGGACGGCCTCTTGAGTAATCCCTCGCCTGGCACTAGATCCAGCAACGCGGTAGGGTCGCACATTGAACAGAGTGTTCACTTCTCTTTGTCATCGACGCGAACGTGGGGGATCACGCGACTAACCTTGTGATCCGCGTTAAGCGCGGAGAAGATGGCACGATCACACGCGTAATATAACAACGACGTTGTTGTCGTCGTCGTCGTCGTTGTCGTTGTCGTCGTCGTCGTCGTCTCGAATCACGCAAGACGTAGAGAAACGGACACCGTGTGTATTCGCCTTCGTATAAACGATCCTTCCGGTTTGGACTTCAAAGGGCAACTCCGCGACGTCGATGGATGGGCGCGCGCCCGCGCGTCCGCGTGCGACAAAGCGCGCGCAAAAAGCACGGTATTCCAAATTAAACTACGCCACACGTATGAAATACGACGAGGCGAGAAAAGAACCGCGGCGGAAAAACTCACCGGTGCCGCGCAAAAGGTCGGGAAAAAAAATATGCTTGTTGTTCTTCAAGTCGCACGGCCTGACTGTCATCATCCGTCGAGGTCGGAGACTCCGAGATGCATCGTCGGCGATTTTGCCTCTGCGACGGCCGTCGCTGTTTCGATTCGCACTCGCATTCGTTCACTGCACTGCACGATGCACGAAATTTCACAGACTCTCACTTTCTCGCAATTTGGACGCTCGGTGTCGCTCGGTCCGTCTCGAGCGCTTCATGTGTGTGTGTGTGTACTTTGAAGAATCAGAATGTACGCTTCCGTGGAATCAAAGTGTACTCTGGCAGAATTGCACATCTAATGCGCTCCGACGATCCTTTCTTTATGCGAGGTAATGAGTAGAGAAGAGCGTCGCACGATGTAGATTAATAATAACCCTGTCTCGTGACCCGTGCGAGACCCAGCCCGTGACCAATTGAATACAGAGCGCAGCGTGGGACCGATCGAGTTTCTCCTAAAATTTCCAAGTACCATCCGCGCAGCTGACGAGGGTCGGCGATTCGTTCCACCGTAGGAGTCGTACGTTTCGATCGATCGATAAGCGACCACCGACAAGATCTTTCTTCCCATCGACGTTGTCCGGCGACGTCGGGGGAAACTCTTTTTCTCTCTCGCGAGCGCGGAAACCGGAAGCTTCCTCTCGCGTCACGTCACTTCGCCGAAGGAGAGAGCCGGCCGGTCGATCGACGTCCTGTCGTGCAGACCGTGTCAGCGGACGCGAATACGAAAATGCATTCCGGGAAAATTTCAGGTGACCGCGAGCGCTCGGTACACGCGACCGATTCACGCGATCCACGAGGATACCGTTTTTCTATACCGATCTATCACTTGACACGCGTTCGACAGTCGATTATCGTCGAGCGATTCAACATCTAAGATCACAGTTATTTTTCTTTCACAGTCGCACCCAATTGCTGATCGTATTGTTGTAATCAACACCGACCCGCGGGAATCCACGCGACACGATACTCGCGGATCGTCGACGAGCACAATACGAGCGTCAGACGATTCCTGCGGTCGCACTTCACTCCAAGGAGAACCGCACGCTTGCGCGGTCGGTGACAGACTGAGGACAGAGGGGCAACCGATGACTCCCGACACTGTGGATGCCGGAATGGTGGGGGAAGGCAGAGAGAGAGAGAGTAGGGAGATCCTTTGGCGGCGGGGAGGTTTGTGTAAGGGGCATTTTGGAAGAAGGGTGGAGGACGACGGTCGGGTGAGATGAGGATGATGGTGGGGCGAGGGGTTGTGAGGGGACTACCGGTGGGAGGGGGGGGACAACAGCCGGTCCTCGACGATCACGGCACCCACTACTCAACTGATGCTGCAGCGGATCCCGTCGAGAAAGAAGATCCGCTCCCTTTCTCGCACCGCCACCGCCTGGCCTGGCTCTCTTCTTCGGGTTCTCACACCTCTTCTCTCTGCCATCTCCGCTGGCCAGGAACGGATCTGCGCGGAAACTAACGAAACTGGAGCTTCAAACCTTCCGGAGATCTTGCGGAATGATATCGCTTAAGATTGTTTTAAGAAAAAAGGCACGTTAAGTTAAAATAAATTGTTGTTTGATCGATTTCTGACTAATTCTTTTTTCTTAGTAGTCTTTATACTAATTTATTCTTTCGTTACTTGTATCTCCACTAATTTTAGAAAGAGAGAAACAGAAAATCAATTAAACTTCAGTTAATTTTACTAATATTTATGATTGCAATTCTCAAAAGTAATTAATAGTTTCTTTCAAGTAATATATGATGCTTGTATAAAAAAAGTCACGTTTTCTTTTAATACGTTTCCGTTTAAAGATTCTTAATAATTATTAGCTCCAGTTTCGAGCAAACACTATCCGCACCTGGCACCATCCGTTTTATCGGAGCGACTGGTTCCGGGCGGCTGATGAGCGATTAAAGTGTATCGCGAATATTAAGCGCAGAAGGGGAAAGGGGAGGGCCCGCGGACGGGATAACGAGATGTTGCGCCATTTGTACTCTCGATCTTCGCCCACGATCTTTCGATTATTATTGGTTTGGTGTGGGAGGGGAAGCGCGCGGCAGACACTGGGGACCGGTCGATTAGCGTGGGCACGGAATCGCAGATTGGAAATCGAAGAATTTCTCTGATGTATCGCGTGTGCATGCGATTGAAATGCAACAGGGCAGAAAAGGTGATTACAAGGACCGTAATCACGGCCATTGAGGCAATATGTCATTGCATGCATAATGGCATTCCCTTTGTAAGAATTTAGGGCGTAGTTCTGGCGTAATAACAGCACGGAAAAGACATACTCACGGATAGAAAATGTTTCCGATGCAATTATTTTTTTTATATTGTAACAAATTAAAAATATATATCGAATCTATCGGAAATTAATTAGCTACCGTGTTAGAATAATAATTAATAAATAATATCATCGTATTATTGTTCGCTGCGTAAACAGGCAACAAATATCGTTCGCGATATTCATTAATAGAACAAAAATATTTAAAATCCATTGTACCGGAACAACAAATTAATGTTATTACGATAAGTTTAGGACAATATTTCTCTTGTGGGCAACTTTGCGGTGTATTTGTATGCGCGGTACACGAGAGTTTTAATCAACCACCCCCAGCTAAAACCGGCGGGAGAAACGAGGTAAAATACCATAGCACACCGCATACATTGTAATCGTTATTTTTCTCATAATAATGTAAAATCGAAAATAACGCGTAATGTAAAATCGTTAATTTCGCGCGGCTTCTGACGTAATTTCGAGAAGCGTAAAAATATCTACAATATCATTTATTTGAATAAATGTCGGCTGTAAAAGCTTCATCGTTAATAAACTTTATGCGCAATTATATAGTGTTATCCGTTTGTATACGTATATGAATGCCTTTCGATCACCCTCAATTTGTGCCTGTTTCGCACTCTAAACAATGCACGCAAATTGCAATAACGGCTCTCTGTGGACACCGCGAGAGAAATACAAGGGGATGCGCTGTGCACTTCGCCTCTTTCTGGATTAACAAAATTAAATAAAATTTCTTCAAATATAATTTTGCCAAACAATTATTAATATAAATATTTAATTCCATAATTAACAATGCATGGGAAAATTTATCCGATCGCGTTCAGTGTAAAAAATTAAAATTGAGAATGTACACAAAGTCTTGAGATTCTCTCGTATAATAGCAAACTTGCCCAGTGATAATGTTTATCAGGATAACAGGCTCTCGCATAGCGGAGCAGATAGCGGATTAATTGCGAGCTTGTTCGCGCGAAATAAGCAGAAAAAAAAAAAAAAACCGTGCGTCAGTAGATTGCCGACAAAAGTGCATCTGCCAGGCAAAATCTAGTCGGCATCTGTGTAAAACTGTTGCGAACAAGTGCATTCCTTCTTATTATTAGTTCACATCTCGCACGCGCGTTGTTTTCTTCGATAACACGCCGTAAACGCAAGCACGGTTGCAACAACGCTTCCCGCTCATTCCCGCAATTTTTATTTCGCCCCGTTGCGGTGAAGTTGCGCGGCAAATTAATGCTCGGGAGTGCGAGTTAACGGGTCAATGGGTAGCGTAACGAGACTTAAATGGGCCTGGAAAACACGAATGCTCGCAAGCGCGAACGCGAAACTATTGGCGCGACGCGAAGCGATGGGATGGATATCGCATCGTTCGAAAACCGGCTAGAAGGATGAGCACGTGGGTGGAGGAGCGCGTAAACGGGAACGTCGTGCCATCTCCGCGTTCAAATGTTTGCCAAGAGGGTTTGAGAGATCGTCGACGTCGCGACGGCGACTGGTTGAAGACCGGCTGCTGCTGCTGCTGCTGCCGGTCGTTCGACTGTCGCCGGCCGGATACCGTCGGACTCGGCGATCCGTTTTCTATTATGCGAACTTTACCGCCGTGCGTCGTGTTATTTTTATTTAAAAATTGACTTTTGTTGAAGAATTTTTGCCCGTTTCCGGCAGATACTTTCACGTATAAAATTCGAAAATTGGTAAACAGCAGTGATGAAAGTAGAACTCCGAAATTCGGAGATAAAGGGATTAACAATTATATTCGCAATTTGCAATTGTTTATTCGTTCGCAATTCGTTTCGAGAACAAGCTACTTCGTCGTAAACGGACTATATTTTGCAATTTCATAAAAGACCAAGCACAATACTGCGGGCCAACATGATAAGAGAGCAAGAGAGTAGATATATACTTTTAATAGACAATGGAAATTTGTTTCAGATATTTATGAAATTATCCGCGCGAGCCATGTTGAAAACTTAGACAATAGCCGTAGATTTTAGCAGCAGCTTTATACCGTGGGAGGATAAATTAAACTGCATTATCTAAATTCCCCCGGAGCATCCATTTAAATTCTCATAGTGTGGAATTGTTTTTCGCAAGAGATTTCATACAGCTGGGTTGTTGTAAAAAATTCATTTAGCGGTCTACGCGCGGGCGCAGGGAATCCGCTTGGTGCCCCCTCTAACCCCCTCCCCCACCTTTTCCCTCCTTCACATGACTGCTCTGAATAATGCGTGCACCATGGAGTTTCCGAGGGCTTCAGCGATCGTTTTACCGGGTTACCCGGATTCTCCCGAAATGGTGTAAACGTGACCTAATAGGTAGGACGCTTCCCTTGTTTTTCTGCCGCTCCGAGCTTCCTCGCCGTCGCCCGTTCACAGCCCGCCGAACCAACCTGACCGTCGTCTCCGCCGCGCTTTATCTGGTCGGACAGTTTCGCACTGTGCCTCGACGTGCGATTAAGTTGTATCGCGGAATGAGAGTGGCCGGGACGAGCGGTAGATAAAAACCATCCTGTTTTCAACCGCGCGCGTCGCGCCTAACGAAGTCGGGATAATAAGAAGTCGAGTCGTGCGGTAAATTATGATGTTTCGAAGAAGGCTATCCGCAGGCCCGCACGGATCGTTCTGGCTGTAGGATCGTTAAAGCCGAGCGCGCTCGAACGGGCTCCCCTAATTTGCGTACCACTTGTGTGGTATCCAAGTTCGTAATTGTGTTATAATTGAAAACGAAAGCGTACATAAAACTTATTACCGGCAAGCAATGTTTGCTTTTATATTGCATTAAAACACTCGTGAAATAAATTTCATTACGGAATGCTTTCCTTTTGCCCTTTATAAAATATAATTAATTAAGCAGTGAAAGAAGAATTGGCCGACAATCGAAATTTATTGGAAGCGTGATCTTTCACCCTAATATATAGAGATAGATACTCTCATTCAAAATAACGATAGTAGATGTAAGGTCAATTTTCCGATTCGAAGATCTATAGCTTGATATTCATTCGCGTGACCCAATTCCACCCTTTCTTCGTTACTTTACTCTACTTCGATATTGAAATCCCAGAAAAGCTTTCGGCCGTAAATGGTGCTCGACATTCACGGAAGATGGGGCTTTCCGTGATCCGAGTGCCGGGAGTGCTGCAGCGACCTTGTTTGCGGTTGAGAGAAACAGGAGAATGGTCCATGATACTTTCTGTCGCGCGCAACAGAACGATCTGATTTTATATGCATTGAAGCATTGTTGAAATATCTATCGTGTTTTAAAGGGGATTTAAACTTGCTGAGTAAGTAAAACAACGCGAATAATCACGTTATTAATATCTTTGAGAGAAAAATGCGATTTCCTTTTAAAGGTAGGAAATAATGAGAAGTATTATAAATGTTGTTAGTGAAAAATAAACTTGAAAAATTTTTAAATTTAATTTTTCTTTCAGACTACTTATAAAACATTTAAGCGTCTCTAATACACTTTCGAGAATTTTATCTTTCGCAGTTACACAATTTTAGCTACGAAAAGTTAAATTCTACTATATGTCATTTCCCCGGTGATCCGGTTAATTGTAATTACTGTAACGTGAGAAATATTGATATACTAATATCGATACCAGTGTTATCAACAGCTTGATACTTTGATACCTCTTTGTCTCGGAAGATTGTCGTCGGCTATCACGACAGCAGCGGAGCATGTTCGAGTAACTCGACACTCCCCGGCGATCCACGTCGGCGGTAAACTCTCAAGGTGGACGAGGATGAAAGTGAGATCGGTTCGCAGATGCGGGCATGGCACCG